TCTAGTAGACACACATGTTACCTGACAGAGCTGGGCAAAGGTACTTCAGTCTCAGGCTGAAGGCTCTGAAGTCCTGGGAAGGTGGGTGCAGGCCAGAGTTACAAGCCCGAGAGTGGGAGAGCTCAAGTATAAGACACTTAGACCAGACTTCATTTCACAAGTCCAGGCTGCTCCTCATCAAAATTGTGTGTGTGTATATATATACATATATATTTTTTTCTTTTTCTGATTCTCATGCATACTGTACATAATTTGGAACATAGAGTAAACTGAAAATTCTATATCCTTATATTCTGTGAGCGTCTTAAAATATGAGTGAGTATTGGCTGGGCATTGTGGCTCGCACCTATAATCCCAGTACTTTGGGAAGCTGAGGTGGTAGAATAACTTGAGGCCTGGAGTTTAAGACCAGCCTGGGCAACATAGAAAGACTGTCTCTACGGAGGGCGGTGGGGGGGGGGAACATTAATTGGAAGCTTGAGCCCAAGAGTTCGTTATAGTGGGCCTTGATCGCACCACTGCCATCCAGCCTGGTGACAGAGCAAGATCTTGTCTATTAAAAAAAAAAAAAAGGAAAATAGGTAATTATTTATATAACTAGTATAACTAGAATTCTGTCAAAGGCTATCGTTGACTTTTTTTGTCTTTTTAAGAGTAAGAAAAATGTTTATCTTCTTTTATTTCTTCCTCTCCTCTCTCTGTCCCTCCCTTCTCTCCTTCCTCCCTTTCTTTCTATCTCCTTTCCCCACTTTCATTTTCCTTGCTCCCATAGGCAGTCATTCTCTCCTGTGTTTTTGATTATATGCATTTTTATATTGTATGTATTTTTTGCTTTGCATTCATGAGTTTTAATGGGATATAAATGGCCCAATGTTATCTGCGTCATTCAATTTTCTTGCATTTATCGCTAAGCATGTGTTTTTAGATCCAGACACCATGTCTTTACGGATACAGAAATCTAATGGTATGCTTTTAATCACCATAAAAATCCATGGTGGGCGTTGCTGCATATTGATTCCTGAGGTAGATGTCCTGGTGTTCTTCAGTATATACCGTGGCCCATCATCCTACAGCTTAATGAAAGAATTTCTTGAAGTTAGAATTCCCGGCAAAGTGATCACTGGTCATGGTAAACAGTATAATTATTTTGCTTTAAAGTTCAACAGGATTACTGTACTAGTCTACTGTCCCACAAGCAATATGTGTGAGTTTTTACCATTCTAAATCCCTGTAACATTTGACTTTGTCCATTTTTCTAATTTTAGCCAGTGTCTCTTTTGGAACAGATTCTGAGTCTTTTAATGAAATTAGTGCTTAATTTCAATTCCCACATAAATAGCTCTATTGAGAGACATAATGTTTGAGTCTACTGCTTTGTATTCATTTGAATTACAAATATTATATATGAGATCTCCTTCCCATTGATAGGAGAGAAATTAAATAAGATGTAGAAGAGCCTTCGTAAAATGTGAGTGGGCCACTCCTACCCCAGTACCTGGCCCATTTCATATCTGTTGTCCTAACATAATGCTCCTTCTGGCGAAATGCCATTTATTCATCAAAGCCTGGTTTAAAATCGACCCTCTTTGCTTAGCCATTGAAGTATTTTAACCCTACTCTAATTAAAGTAATTATCACAAGTCAAAGAGTTAGTTGTCCACTTTTCTGTGCACCTAACTACCATGTGAATTAGTGTGTTATAGGACATCTTTATATACCTAGCATTCAACACCATTAATCTAACACAGAAAAGTTACTCATTAATTGTTTTGTGAAGGTTAAACAATACACATTCTTACATTTACTATTTTCATTTTATCTAACCACAATAAAAATTTTTGGTTCTGAAAAATTTTCAGATTAAAACCATCTTTCTTATGTTCTCAACTGTGAAGTATTGGCATCTTAGCACAGCACTGATTTAAGGACTGGGCCAGATTCAAAACTGCTTCCTGGAAGAATCCTGGCTTTGCCTGATAACACTTGTGAGCTCACTGCAGTGCTAAGGTGCGATGGTCTTCCAGCCTTGCAAGAAGTCAGCATCTTTCATTGTCTCAGGGGAATGGTAGCCCTCAAAATTTGTTATTCTGACTTTCAAGTGTGTCTCTATTCAGCAGTGTAGACTATGGCTCCAGGTCTTATTAAGAGATAAATGTGGAACAGATAGATGGCTCCTATCAAAAAGCATAGTTGAGGAAAGCTATATTTAAAGAAAATAATTTGAGGGAAATAGTTTTTCAATTCTCTGAAGTCATTCTAGACCTTGATAGTCTACAAAGATGCTGTGCCTCTTTCCTTATTTGTAATCTAAGGAGATAAGCTAAGCAAGGTCTGGGTCCCTGAAATTTCTAGGAGATGATATACTGATTAGAGTCTTTGGGAAGAACCAACTATGCCTAGCAGATTTGGGGGACACAGAACCTTCCTTGCTTCATTAAGAATTGTCTCCATAAAGTTTATTTGGGCAATAATAGAGTTACTCTTTAGCTACGTAGTGTCTAGTATATAAAGTTTCCTAAAAAAAAAAAAAAAAAAAGAATTGTCTTCATGACTTGAAGATTTATAAAGTCACCGGGGCTTTTTTCTCATGCCCAAGTCCCCTGACTCCCAGTTGCACTCCTTTATTTCTCCCTTGAGCCTCAGAGCCTGTGTTTGCTTCCTCTTCGCCAAAGCGGCCACCATTCCCTCTACTTTTCTGTGGTTCCCCTGTCCTCCCGCAGTGGCTGCAGAGTTGTACTCCCTGTAGCAGCAACTGTCAACAAATCTCATAGCCTTGGTCAGTTTAAAGGTTTTGTTGCTGGTCCCACACAGAAGCAGAATTGGGGAAATGACTCAGTTTCCTCATCAACAGCATGAGCATAATGGTAGCTTGAGAGTCCCTGTGAAGAATAGGTTAATCTCCAACAACTCCTGGCCCAGGGCTTGGCACATGGTAGGTGCTGAATATCAGTACACTGCTGGAGGAAATGGAGCCACTCAGCTTTTACAGGAAACTGCAGGGATCTGCAATCCCAGAGTAAGACTGTCCCCAAATATCTTCGCTTTAGTCAAAGCCAGTGTGAGCAGCCAGTGTGCTGCTGCTTCCCATACGTCTGAGAAGATATCTATTTCTCATTTTAGTTTAAGTCTGCTTCCTGTGATGAGGTGGGGGGATATCACAGAAATTATCTCTGGGAAACAAGGAAAACTCTTTTGTGAGGTCCATGGTATTTTTTGTGCCACTCTCCCAGTCCATGTCAAATCCCCTAGTCCATATCTCAGTGCTGTGAGCAGATACAACCTTGAATGAATATTATACACTATTTAAAGTGCTTATTTTTCCACAGTTTTCTTTTCAATGAATGCAGATAAGTGAATAAAATATCCTTTTATTTCAAATTACGATTTACTGCCGGTAAGCTAGTTAAAATATTTTTACTTCCTTTTATGTTCCTTTTGTTCTTGTTCAGGTATGTTTTCTATACTTAAAATTTTCGTGAAAAGCTTCTTATTTGTATGAGCAAAACAGTAGCTTCCCTTTTTGTTTATAGTAAGTATGCAACTTTGTCTGATAGCTCACAATATAAAACTGCAACCCCACACATTGTAATTTTAAAATCTTTCCCAACAATCTTCATGCTATGTCACTTAGACAACTAATTTTTTAAAGGGTTGCATATAAAGTCAATGTAATGTTATTGCTTTCAACATACCTCTTGATTTTCATGCACAGATATCTGACATGCTCCTTTAAAAAGTAACAAAATCTGAACTAGCTTTGAGTTCCAAGTTGCAATGAGAAAACTCCACATTTAACCCTCTGCTCTTATTATGTTAAGACTAGGACTCATCTCCAAACAAACGTATGATTGAGATGATGTTTTAGAATAACATCCTGTGTTTTGGTGATGCATCACTCTTCAGTGACATTCTGAGGTTGCATTGTATTAGCACATGATATTTTCCCCAGTTAATTGATATCCCAGGTTTGTCCAGGGGAAAATCTACAGCTCCCCCAAACATGCTTGACAAGTTATTATATTTACTTTAGTCAAAGCCCGTGTGTGCAATATCCCTCTTGGAGGTGGTCTATTATTGGAGTCCCATATGCTTTTTGTTTGGGAAGAAAGCAGTCACTGTGTCATACTGTTACATGGAGTATTCTTTTTCAGGGATGTTGTTCCCTTGGGGACCATATCAGGCCAGAGTTCCTTAGTCTAATAAGACCTTTGTAACTCTTATTGTATAAAAGTTCTGGGAGGGAAGCAAGAGTTAAACAGAAAATGTAATTCAACCAACCATATTAGGCCACATGTGGGAAAACATGATTCTCAGTAATGGATTAAAAGAAGGTATTTGTTGTAAAAAGCACAGCGATGCCAAAATGTTCAGAATATTTAAGTGTAAATGAAGGCTATTGGTGGCATAAGACTCATAACATTTTAACATTTAACATTAGCTTCTGAATATGAATGATCTAAAAATATGCCACACACAATTGTCTGTTCATAAATGTTTATAGTAAAAAAGATGTGATTACTATGGAAACCCTATATGTGATATTTAATCTAAGATTTTTCTTGTGTCAGTTTTCCCATCAATAAAATGACATTAAATGAAGAATCAGATGAAGATAATGACTATAGTGGCATTATATACATTTTTTTCTACTCAGTAATACAAAAGAAGTAGACACACTAATCAGAATTATCCAATTTCATCATTGTACTTTATCAACAGTTGACAAATATGCTGATCGTATTTCATATAGCCGGAATTTTATAAATGAATTTGCAAAAAATGTACATAGATGCCCTTTATTCAGATTTATAACTATGTTTGAGGAAGAAATCTTTTATTTAAATTTTACATTGTAACTTTTGGATACAGAAGTCATAAAATAAATACTTAAAATCATTATTCAATTATGATAAGACCCATTTTCTGAAATGCGAACATTTTACAGTAAAATTTTTGATACTGTGATATTTTGAGATTATCCTCTTTTTTTTTTTTAACAGCAAATGGTTTCACAGCAACGCATTTTAATTCATGAAGATTCCATGAACCTGCTCAGTCTTTATACCTCTCCTTCTTTGCCCAACATTACCTTGGGGCTTCCTGCAGTGCCATCCCAGCTCAATGTAAGTCATTGCACAGCATCAGCCTAAATAGAACCAAGCAATATTGGGAACTCTCTTTCATTTTTCTATATGTTTATACTTTAAAAAAACCTGGTAGAGCCAGCATCTCCTTCATTGTTTGCTATTTGCTCTGTTGTTCAAAGACATTCCATTTAATTTCAAACCAGAATTATCCTTGTTCACATAATCATTTGTAAAAATAACATTTGTATGGTTTGTAGCTTTAAAGAAAAGCACTCTCTAGATATATTATTTTAATAACTCCACACAGCCGTCCTGTGAAACAGAGACTACAGCCCACGTTTTTACAGAAGGAGAAGCTGAGACTTGGAGAGTTTTAAAGCACAAGATCACAGAGCCAGTTAGTGGCAGACCTGGAACACAAGCCAGGGTAGTGCTGAGAGGTACAGCTTCGAAAGCACAGCAGCATATGTTTAGAGAATTTATTTTGTGAATGACTTTATTTTGGGAATCTAAGTTACTGACTCTCTGGTACTGAATAATATGTATCTGGAAAAACTCTCTAAGAAAAGTATTAAACTATTCCCATTAGATTCTAAGTGAATCTATTAGTTTAAAATTACTGACAACTGAAATAGGCTCTTTTGGAAAGAAAGCAGTCACTGTATATACTGTTAAATGTAGGTCTAGCAGTGATTCTTTGTCCTGGCCACTTTGCCTTAAAATTTCCTAGTATTCAGCAGAGAAAATGGAATACTAGAGATCTCTTTGCCAAAGCAGTGCTAAACTTGAAATTTTATTGTCATACTAGCAGAAGATAGCAATAATTATATTATTCATATTCACTAAACAGTATCAGCTTTAGTTGTAAAAAAATATGTGGGCCTTATCCAGAATAATTCATCTCTAAAATGTTACTTAATTAAATTGTATGTACACAGGGGTCATATGATACATTAAAGAGAAATTTATGCTAACCCTCATCACTAATTTTGCCAGTCTTTACCTTCAAGTCTTCCACTGAGTCAAATGTGTCAAATTCACATGTATGTTCAATACATAATTTCAATACATATTTTAAAATCAACCTAAGAGATATCTTATAATATCTGATATTTTCAATAGACTATAATGTCATTTTCTGTGGTACTGTGTTCTTATACCAATAAGGATAAAACAAAATTTGGATGTTGTCTTGTATCTGGGGATTGTACAAGAAAGCATTGAAAGTACTGAATTCAGCTATGCTCTTAAAATTCTACATGAAACAATTGTAAATGAAATGAAAAACAAAAAAAAGGGAATTAGGAATGAAACTAAAAATAAACATTCATGGATAATATTTCACAGTTATCACTAATTAAAAATTATTTTCCTTCCATTTCTATTTCCTGTCTCTTCTAATGATAAGTAAATACCAACTCAAAAACTTCTTATGACACATGAATAGGCATTTTATTTTTACTTATTTTTGTATGTTCTAAGCCACTCCTCTCAATAACTCACACATGAACCACTTTTAATGTGGTCAGGGAAAATTTTTTTCCCAAAGGACCAAGTACAGTACTAAAGCCAGACCATTTAATATTTCAAAGGTAATACGATTTGGTACCATTGGATGGATAAACCAATGTGGTTTGGATTAAAGTTTCATTTTTCCTTGCTTCCATTTTGGTGTGGATGAGGCCATCACAATTAATTTTTCAAGTTTAGCATTGCTTTGCCAAAGGGATCTCTAGTATTCCACTTCTCCACTGAATACTGGGAAATTTTAAGGAAAAGTGGCCAGGACAAGGAATCACCTCTAGATTAAACATTGCATTGACTTGCTCTGTGACTCAGACAAACCACTTACCTCTTTGTCCTTCAATTTCTCCATTGCTGAAAATTACTTTGCCTCCCTGGTGCACAGCAATTTTGAAAGATGAAACATGAGTTTTGAAAAGAAACATGCCACATAATTTTGAGGTATCAGAGTCCTGCTTTTATAATAGCAAAATGACCACCATTCATTAAATTCTTTGAATAGGATAATTCATTATTGCGATTGATGGTATAATTGTTATTGCCTTATTACTGTGTTATTATACATTTCAAGTACTTAATAGCATTTTTATTTGATATCTTATTTCACTTGTAGCTTATTATACAAAATATCTGGAGTGTCATTTTCAATATTTAGAGATTTGGCAATCTGTTATGAATTAATATAAAATGTTTAAATCAAATTTCTGCATATCTTTACCTCCTTTCATTGAGTTATTTTAAGAATTTAATTTAAAAAATTAAACATTGGATACTTATAGCTCTGTGAAATTATTAGAAAACATGTAGAGAAAGGGTGATTTGTTTCTTTCCCTTGCAACTCCAAAATTACAGTACATCTTATCTCCAGCTCCTTAATCCCCATGATACAGTCTGAATAAATTTTACCTCTCCAGGATGCCTTTAACTTAAACAGTGTATATTAAAATACTTTAGAAATGTACCTTCCACTTAATAAGCAGTTTTTTAAATTGACATATAAAATGTACATATATTTGTGGTTTACAACATGATGATTTGATAAATGTACATATTGTGGAGTGACTTAAGCTGATTAACATATGCATTGTCTTACATACTTATTTTTTATGGTGAGAACATTCAATCTATTCTCTGAGAAATTTTCACATGTACAATATATTGTTATTTGTAGTCATCATCATGTACAATATATCTGTTGAATTTATTCTTTCCATCTAAAATTTTGTGTGTAGCATCACTTTTGATTTTAATTAAAATAAACTTTTTATATTCAATACAATGACAATATTAAATTGTCTTCGGTGCTCCAACCCTATTTTTATTCCTTCTTTTTTGAATTGAGTTAGTTTAAAAGGTCCATTTTCCCTGCTCAGCTATTGGGTAAGATGGAGTTTTTGTTCTGGGAAGCTACAGCATAGGAAACTTGTCTAAGATTTAGAGACCCAGTGACCCACATGGATGAAAGAGTATTTAACATCTTTGTTATTTCTCAACACAGGCTTCGAATTCACTCAAAGAAAAGCAGAAGTGTGACACGCAGACGCTTAGGCAAGGTGTTGCTCTGCCTGGGCAGTATGGGGGCAGCATCCCGGCATCTTCCAGCCACCCTCACGTCACTTTAGAGGGAAAGCCACCCAACAGCAGCCACCAGGCTCTCCTGCAGCATTTATTATTGAAAGAACAAATGCGACAGCAAAAGCTTCTTGTGGCTGGTAATTCATTATGGCACCATTTGCAGGTCATTTTAGGGTTTTATTTTGTTAGTCATTCAGGATAATGTCTCTTTTACTTAAGACCCTGATAGGGATCCACAGTCTTATCCAAAGTCTCCATGATACCTGGTACTGTGGGAAAGGCTATCATCTTTATTTATTCCTTTAGATCTAGTTGGGGTAGGAGGACGCATCTTATTTAACCATTATTCATAGCAGACTAGATTATGGTGAGTCATACAGTCAGATGTGCACCTGTCCAGTGCCTTGACATTTCTGTCTTCCCACACTTGTCCTATTCTTCTAATGTTTGCCTGGTAGCATCACTAATTCACTAATTTTCTTATGGTTTATACTATGTATCTATTTTCTTTGGCTTCTTATCTTTTCTTAGAATTGTGTGTGTGTTGTGTGTGTATACACACACATATGCATATATATATGGTTTTTTTCAGGTGGAGTTCCCTTACATCCTCAGTCTCCCTTGGCAACTAAAGAGAGAATTTCACCTGGCATTAGAGGTACACACAAATTGCCCCGTCATAGACCTCTGAACAGAACCCAGTCTGCACCTTTGCCTCAGAGTACGTTGGCTCAGCTTGTCATTCAACAGCAACACCAGCAATTCTTGGAGAAGCAGAAGCAATACCAGCAGCAGATCCACATGAACAAAGTAAGCCTCCAAGCCCAGTCAAAATGTACTAGCCACCAGTTTGGATATTGGGGATCTCTTTAGTGATATGGGTATATAAAAGGAATGCTGATGGGAATCACAGCAAAAAGGATGTGATCATCCTAAGCCTGCTTTCTGGGTTCAAGGACACCATCACAATGTCAGTGTTTTAACCACCATTATGTTCATGAGACATGTGTAGCAAAATTGATATGATAGATTAGTAAGATCTTTAAGATCAGGTATCTCTTTTGGTATACAAGCCCATATGAGCGCATATATATATATATATATGTATATGTGGAGCCTTATTTTTTATTGTTGCAGAAAATGTTTGAGGCAGACTTGAATGTAGTGTGTTGACATGTCAAAAAGTTTTTACAGATGATGGCAGATAGGCCAAGGTTAGCCAGTAAGGCACTTCTCAGCAACTTGTATGCATCTGTGTTACATTTATTTTTGCATATGCCCCACTTCATTCCAATAAGCCTTTGGAGTAGTTTCTCAGAAACTGGTGATCATTTCTTCCTGGAAACCCCAATGTTGCTAAAATGGACAGATACTACATCCTTAGGAGCTCTCCTGCTGAGGCAACCATAAAGAAACAGTGATTGCAGTGCAATATCAGACAGGCCAGTAAAGCATTTTCTATGAATTCATAAGCAAAGTGATATTAAAGAACCTGGTCTGGGACAGTTTCTCCACTATTATTTGCTGTGGTAGGCTTAAAAAAGCACCATCTTCTCATTTCTGGAAAATTGCTGGAAAATATTAAGGTCTTGAGTATTAAGATTCTATTCCCTTGCCTTTGTGCTATATCATCTACAAATATGTTCCAGAGGCATGAGAGGCATTATATCGCAAACTCATACTTTGTTTACTGATAAATGGATAGCTAAAACCTGGCTTAGTAATAACTTTGTTGTACTATGATGTAGGAAACAAACAAAACAAAGTAAACTCTCATGGGCAGATGCCTAATATCTTTCTAATGGCAGTAGGGGAAAAGGGTATTTACCATGTGCTGGTTTTATTACAAGTGTTGCTGGATTTTTTCTCTTCTTTAAGCCTCCATCATAACAAGGGCAGAGACATGAAGGAAGCATGGGTTGAACACCATGCTTCTGAACAGAAGTTCTTCCAGCCTAGTCCTTTGCCGCTCTCAAAGTAGCAAAAGTATGTGTGGAATTGGGGTGCTGGAGATAGGGTGGTGGCTGGCGGCGGACACTCTCTAACGCTGTACTATACATTGCAGACTCTTTCTGTGTTATTAGATAATGCCTATTTTATTGCTGTAGCACTTTGCTAAATTTATTAAATTATTTCGTATCAAATTATTTTATATCAAATCAGTGTCATCAGCAGAGAGCGAATTTCCTTCTCTGACTAATGGCAAAATACTTATTGACTTGTATGTGACTCTGCATATGTTTTCCATATTATGATAGAGTTGGGTTTCTTTTTTTGTGGTCTTTCAGCACAACTTAAAATTATTAAGTATACTTGAAAAATTGTCCAGTGTTTAGTGCAAGAAATGTAGGTGGGAGGGAAGATTAGAGATCTTATTTTTTGCCTTACATTGTTTTGATCTAGAATTAGGTTTGTTTATAAAACTAGTATTAGATAGTAGATAGACTTTTCTGCTACACTTGATTCTATTTTTTAGAAACACATGAATGTATATATTCTACTATGGTTAAAGTAGGTAAATTGTTCCCTTTGAAATTGTGATCTGCAAATGGTTTCTATGAATACCTTTAAGAATATTTTGGAATATGTTTTTTTTTTTTAATTAACTAATTGCCACTGTTTCAGATTCAGATGGTATGCTAATATCAGAATCTTTCCTTTTCAATATCAAACTCGAGATTTTGACAGGCAGATGCTAACCTCAGTCACACTGGATAAAACTCAGATGAAAAGCAGGCATTTGCATCTTAGCAATGAGAAAAGCAAATCTTATCAGAGACCTTTTCCCATGTGGAGCTGATTCCTATGAATCTGTTAAGAATTCTTCCCAAAATTAGAAACAAACCTATACGTTTAGGTACATGTTTGTACAGTGGTTTGATTATTAAATCTTGTCTTAATTAGGTAAAATGAAGACCAGAAAACTTCAAAGTCCAAAGCTGATCTTTATATGTTAACCCCTCTCAGCTTGGGTGTTTAGATGACTCAAGCAGGTCGCCAGTTGGCTTTTCTCCAAGTATGTATTCCATATGTTTAATCAAGTTGGCATATGCACATTGGGTATTCTCTAGATTTCGAAAATATTTTACCTGCCCTCTGTTGTCTAAGGGGACAGAGAGGAAGCTTATTAAAGAAAATACCAAACCCATGTCCTATTTGAAGTATTCACAATAGAGCCCTCAAGAAGTGAATGAATGGCTAGTGTTCACCTGCCTCCATGAGGTGACAAGGATATTTATTTCACATTGGGTCAGATTCATAACTTAGATGCCCAAAGCTAACATGTTTCTGTATAATATATTGCTACATATTTGATTTAATCATTTAGAATGCCCATTAGTAAGAAATCATCACAGAAACTTTTTCATTTTTCCCCATTTCTGTGGAAGAACCTTTATGTAATCCATTCAAATAAGTGATGGTCCTTACTCTTGAGATACTTATAGCAGGAAATAAAGGCACACATGAAGATGTAGATGTACAAATGACATATTTAAGTATGTCTTCTACTTTTATTTCCTTTTTATGGTTCTTTTTTGAGGAATTTAGAGAAACAAATGAAGTGGGAACCTGTATCAGATTAAATATGATGGGCTTCCTGGTATAAAATTTGTAGTAATATGTTTGAATTGCTAATAATCTTCAAAGGAATTAGAAGCAAAGCTGTAGTTTTAGGGGCACAGTTGATGCAGTGATTAACTTATTAACTTTGAAAGAGTTTTTCATATCTTGTATTATTTTAGTGTGTTTATAAAATATTCATGTTCAATATAACTATACAATGTAACTGTTTTTATACAAAATAATTTATCTACCTGTTGCATTATACTTTAATGTCATATTTGGGATATTTGTAGGATATTGTATGTTCTAAGATTATTTGCCTCATATAGTTATGGTGTAAGCGCTCAAAGGCTTAGCAGAAACATCCCTGGAAACAAACAAACCAAAAAAAAACAGTAAATAATGGGGAAGTCAGAAAGGAGAGTGCTAGGCTGGAGAGGAAACCCAGTCAAAATGATTTATTTCTGCTCATGAGTTTGAATGTTCTATTTTTCATGAAAGTGTTTTAAGAAGTTTAATTATAACAAAATCAGGGCTTACAACATATGTTGTTTTATTTTCTGAGATTTTAAAAATCAGAAATGCATTAAAGAATTTCTGTTGCTCATATACAGGGTGTTAATATTTTTGTGCAATGATGTCATTGCACATTCATTTATGTCATTTTTCCCCAATACCATAGAAGAAGCTTTTAAAAAAATCAAGTTTCTTTGTACGAGCATCAAGAGAAGACTGCTGCTTTTGCCAGTACACCTTGTTTTTCTCATTGGAGAAAAAAAGTTTCTAAGGTAGAACTTCCCTCAAATACAGAATAGCAAACAAAAAGTAATAAGGTTTTGGCAGTTTTCTCCTGAGCCCGTTTCAAGTTTAAATATTACCACAGGATTTTTTTGTGTGTGTGGTAAAATAAAACTGTGATTGATTAAAACAGAATACATAAAAATTGTTTAGACATATTGATGATTTTTCAGAAGTATTCTAACACTGCCTAGAAAATAAAAGGGCAAATCTCTAGTCACTTCAATGTTTGAAGGATATACAGAAATTTTTCAAAATCTCTTTGGGCATTTTTGTTGTAAGGTAATTTGACATAGATCTCTGCCATGCCCCATCCCTATGACAATATTATTCTTTATTTATCTGTTATAATATTAATAGAATAGCACCGATTCATGCCTAACAGTTTCTATTTTAACTAGAATATTAATACCTTTATTAATGTCTATGTTTTTCATATTCATTCCATTAAATCCACAAGAACAGAAATTTTAAGAAAATTCGTACTTTGTTTAGCACTCACTTTAATGAATTATTAATCTATATATGGATGCATTAAACAAATCATTGAATGCTTGGGCAGACACAGTTTTAAGACTAACAAAACAACCTTCAGTGTCCTCATGGAGCTTATAGGATGGGGCGGAGGGAGTGAATTATTCAAACAAACAGTAATACAGTGTGTTAAGTATTAAGAAACAAGACATGAGGAAGAAAACTGTTGACTTTAAGAAAATAAAACTGAGTTTAGTTACTTCTCTGAGTTATCTTATTCTTATTATATCTCACTCCCTTTATTTTTCTTTCTTGCTTGCTTTTTCTCTTTCTTATATGCTCTGTGATAAATATCTTTTGCATTCCTGTGACTGGCTATCAGCCAACACTTTTTTAAAAACTCACATAAATCATGAGATGATATCTTATATATGCCAAGGTTCAGTCTAGATATAAGTATTTATTTTATATTTATTACTGTGATACTTAGGCATTTTTACATGAGTGGTATTTTATCATAATAAAAATATATCTAAGACAAGACCAGTAAATGTGAGGTCAAGCAGATGTCCTGTGTTGGCCTTATTAAAACAGGTAGATGCTGTGTTCTGACAAGCAAGGCATGAGTATTATTAGGCTCAAATGCCAGATCTGAACAAATGGGGAGCTTTCATTAGTTTTTGGAAAAAAATTTGACTGTTTGAGTAGTATCTGTTTTATTCCTTTTCTGACATAATTTGCTAACATGAATGTTATATATTCTCTGAAATCCTTATGATTTATACCCATTCCCTGTCCCCAACTGTCCATCCACAGCAACCTTAGAGAGTATATTCTTTCATGCCTGTGGTCACATACAAACATAGCATGTGTATGTGTGTGTGTGTGTTAATGTGTTTCTTGTAAAGTGTCCCTGAAGGCAGTTATAATGTAGAACTATTTTGCGCACTATTGAAAAAAATATATATTTTGAG